TAATTTGTCGAAATGCTGCACTGTGTGAACGCAGATGGAAAATTGCCGGAAAAAGCACGTTCACGATTAGTACACGCTGATGTAAGATGTCCTCTCCAGCCTATCAGAATATTCAGACACATTCACCTCCGCTCTGTTTACAAAAATAAATGTCTTTGAATATTTTTCCTGACACATTTAGCTGCTAGATGTTAGTCAGATATCATTTCCAGGTTCGTTCTTAATGCACACTGTGGAAAATTTTGATTTATGATAACCTGCTTATGATAACCTGCTGTTGTTTACCTTTAAGCTTCAGTTGCTTTACTTTAAGCAGCAGGTGAGCGGCAGCACACACACATATTATGTACCACCAACAGTCAACAAAAGCCAGACCCCTTCTATGTTTACTAATAGAAGCACAGCCATTTAGAGGTAATTTCTGGTTAGTGATGTCAGAATTTACTAGTATTTTGGAATGGATGTGTGAACGGTCTTTTCTGGAAAAATTCCGAAACGTTCTTGCCTGTTTGAACAGCGCTTTTTTAAATTTACCGGTATAGACAGTACAGTAATTTTCCAGATATTTACCGGTATCACTGTGGGAAAGGGGCTAAAGATTAGTTTTAGTTGTGTAGTGTTCTTATAACATTTATTAATATAGTATTAAAATAAAAAGTATTTGTTAACATAATTAGACATGTCTGGCATTAACAATAGAAACGTATTTTATAAAATAAACTTACTTTGATCAAATCAAGATTAAATAGCGTAAATATGATCAGCTACTACCCATTTTTAAGGTTAGTTAATACATTGCTAATAGTTAACTAATGTGACCATAAATAGTTAACACAACAGGTTTAAGCTCTGTGTTAATCACAGATGATCTCAAACTCGGCCATCTGTCAGTTCTTATTCAACGGAGAGCAATCATCAAGGACCGAAGACATGTTTTATGCAGTTTGTTGTGGAGAATGGTATCTACTCTGCTTTCTTTCCACAAAAGACTCATCTATTTAGCTGATAGCAAACACTGTAGCTTTTGTTGATGTGTACGGCTCGGTTGTTTCCAACATATAAATTGTGAAACCAGGTGTGCTATTTTCATTTGTTGATGGTCTGGTTTTATTACTTGTACTAAGTTTCAATTGTAATATCCATATTATGCTTTGTAAAGAATCACCTGATTAATGTTTGCTTCACTATTATTTATTGTCCTTTCATCTTAAATTGAAATTGTCTGTGAAACTAAAACAGACATTGCATCTATTTAACTGTGAAAAGTTACATTAAATATATTTTTAACTAAATAAACTTACAGTATGATTATATTTTTATTGTTGCTGTTACTGTTAAATAAATTACATCCCAACCAATGACTAATAACTTCTCATAGGGTGGGCCACAATTAAATATAAGTGTCCACCCAGGTCCACTATATTATGTTAAAGATTGCTCTCTTTTTCAACTTCATGCAGTCTAGGATCTGCATTTTCTACTCTACTGATCATACATGTCATTCAGCCTGAGGCATATTCACCTCCCTTTTCAGTTTTGTTGTCAAAGTTCTCTTGCATATGTATAAAATGTAACTTTTTTGTATTAAAAAACAACCAGTAAGTCAGATGTAAAAAGGGTTGTACTATCAAAGTTACCAAGTAATGCAATATGTTACCTTTTAAGGTAAAGAAAGAATACTGTATAATGTTATTCATTATGCACATTTGTAACAAATCTAAATAGGTTGTGCAAAAGGTTAGCCTGGAATTACTGATTATTGACTAATTTTAGGCAATTCAGAAATTCTTTATTTTAGGAGACCTTAAAGCAGCCATTATCAGGCAGTTTGATCTTTAAATTGTAAAGGTTTAAGGACTAAATGGCACATTTGAGCTGTCTTAGAGGAAAATAAACTACACTGAAACATCTTAAAATATATCACCACCATTGTTTAGTCTTAAGATGCACACCAGAAATGTGTTTTTCCAAGGCATTTTTATAAAAGATGCTTAAGTAATCTAACCTAACTTAAGCCTATTTCTTGGTGGAGTACAGTATGGTACGGGTCGGTATAGGTCACCTTTATCAGGCTTGACAGAAATTTTCTTATGACAAAGTTTTAGTCGACGTCATTTTTGCTCGAGGAAATGTCAAAGTAAAGCTGTATGGGACGTTCACGTATTATATGAGAAGCACTTCTCACAAAACAGAGAATTTATACATAAATACTTGTGTATAAATGTTCATTACTAACCTTTCTATGAACAGGATTTGATTATAACTGCAGATCAATGATTAATGGTGTGAAATAGCCTACTGTAACACCTGCAGTTACATAAAATAAATAAATGCAGCATATATGAACTCATACAGACCCTTACAGTCTCCTATATACAGAGATGCATAAAGTACTAGAGACCCTGACTTAAGTAAAAGTTCAAGTGCTCTATCAAAAAATTGACTTGAGTAGAGGTTGAAGTGCTCTTTAAGCACCATACTTTAGTGGAAGTACTAAAGTATTCAACATTCTTTGTATTTAAGTATTGCAAGTAGTTTATTTCAAAATTTACTATTCAAGTACTGAAAGTAAAAGTATAAGTATTGTGTAATCTAGTTATTAAAGAAATCAGTCAAAAGACATATTGTTTTGTTTATTTTAAATATCTTTTTTGGGGGCACGTGATTAAGCAGAACAAAAAGAAACATGGCTTACAATTTACAGTACATGAACTAAAAACATTATATGAACACAAAAACATTTAAATCCACTCAAAACGCTATTGAAACCCATTTTCAGATCGCAAACTATTGGTTGTAAATGCTGTAAATGGAAGTTCTAAACATTCTACCGGAAGACGCTGGTCACTATAATATAACATATGTACTGAAGTAAAAGTGGAAGTAGGAGAAAAAAACAATACTCCAGTAGAGTACAGATACAGCCTTTTAGTGCTTAAGTACAGTAGTGAAGTATTTCTACTTTGTTGTTATACATATCTGCGGATATGTTATCAATTACAGAAAAATTGCACACAGCATACATTTAGTCCTTATTTATGTTAAACAACATGCAACATATAGCCCACAGTCAGTGCAAACCTCTCATCTGTATCTTTAATCTTTACCAGCACATGTAACCTCTGTTAGAAAGTAATTCAGATTTCATAGTAATCCAAAAGGCGATGATAAAAGTTAAACATGACAGTTTGTTCATCAAGATGTCGACAAGGTTTGTTTAAGCTAAGTGGACCATGGCTCGTTATTACATGTATATAGTATTACGGTGTAATGTCTTGGCTGTATATTTAACAATGATGCTTCCTTTGTTTTCATTTTCTTAGCTTGTGCATGCGCTAGTGACGTACAGTATCTCTGTAAACCAATAGTGTTCAGCTGCACGCCTTGCTCTGCCTTTTGGTTTTGGTACCCTTTTGTTTTGCTAGGTACCCTTCTTAAAAGGTACCCAAAAAATGGTATGGTATTTCAACCATAATGGTATGGTTCAATTTTTGGTACGTTTTGACAGTAAAAAACGGCCATAAAAGCATACCAAACCATACCGTACCACTCAGTGGAAACTGGCTATTAAAGGGACAGTTCACCCCAAAAAAATCTTAGTTTTCTCACATTTGTGTGGTTCTTTTTTTTATTAACATTCTTCAGTATATCTTCCTTCGTGTTCGACATAAGAAAGAAACTCAAGTTTGAAACAAAAAATCAAGGTAGTAAATCTTGACAGACTGCATTTTTAAATGTATTTTTTTATCTCTTTAATCTAAGCTCTGTTTATCAACAGACCTTACTTTTACAAACAGCTCCATTAAACACACACAAAAATCCACAGGAGCTGCACTTCAACATACGAAGTACAGTGTAAGTTCAAGAACAGGGCACCTTCATCAGACTGAAATTATCGCATCATTACATGGCTCTCAACCAAATCATTCCACCATTTAACACGGTACAGTGATGCAAATAACTAGTGTAGCTTACAAAGTCTTTGAAGACACTTTACTGTATGTCCTAATAATAAAGGAAACTGCACATGAACTCCAGCCATAATAACTACTCAGCCTTGAAAAGAGCTGATTAGGCAAGAGCATGCTTAACTAACGTCACACACACATCACTTAACCTTTCAGTAGACCTTTGAGTGCTACAATGTAGGACAACGTTTTTTTTAGTTATTTATATACTAGTGTTGTCTCCTTTTATTAACTGCCATATGACATTTGTAATGCCTCAATATTAAATAATCATAGAATCCTGTGAAAAATGCATGCATTATTAGTTAAAAACAAACAATTTATTTATAGACAAATACTGTGACCTTTAACATACTGACACCTACACCTGTATCGATTTAAATAAGGATGTGGGTTTTAGTTTTGGTGTTTTCCATTGAGAAATGCTGCAGTTTCCTGTGCAGATGCTGCGATTGTGATATTGTATATGAGCTTTGACCTTGATGCGCAGACATATTTGCTGTATTAATATCTGTCTAAGGCAGCATACAAACCTTGTTGCAGATAAAATGTAACATTTAAAAAAATCCGAGGACAGGGGAATTCCTTTCATTCATTTATAAACCTAAGAGCTTGTGGTTAATGTGAGTGCGAATCGTTTTGTGATCATAATAAATTGCTCATCACAATTAAGTGAAGCGGTATATAAAAATAAAGGTTGCATCGACCTCTTGACCTCCAAAATATGTATTTACTGCTCTTCACAGAATGTTTATTTTTGTTACTATTTAACTATATGGATGTTTTCTTTAGGGCTTTAAAGCTATTAATAGAGAGGCTTTAATGGCCATTAAAGTCAAGGGATCTTTTTTATGATTGAGAACTTTCTCAGCGCTACCTTCAAGGCTGTATAAAAACAGAAGCTTAATGAGGAAGGAAATTAAGGTCACCTGTATGACTATGAAATAAACTGGTGATATCATGTAAATTGATCTGCCTGAGAAGACCGATTAACTAAGCAGAGGTTTGCTTTTTGTATTTGTGTCACATCAGGTTATGCTGCCCGAAAGTTCCCAGTTGAGTCTGAGTAAAAGAGAAAAGGGCTAAAGCCGGAGCACTTTAAAGCATCTCCCACAAATCTGACCATAAGCAATGAGTGACCCTCAGGATGCCAGTGACGTCACTTCTGCCGCAGGCTTGACCAGACATTTGGTAGGTAATCTATGACATATATGCTTTTGAGGGGTTTTTCGGCTATGAAGATCATTAAGCTGGAATATGTTTTGAATGTGCATCTAAGGTCAGCTTTATCCACTGCTAAACTCTAAACATTAGCAGTGGATGAGACATCAACCTTTTTGATGCGATATTTGTGCAGTGTTTTCTTTTTTTCATTTTAATTAATGAGGGGGTTTTGTGTGTTTTAACGACACAAAATAAAGAAAAAACACCTTTAAAAAGTGTCAGTAGCCATTGAATTGTATCACCCTGATTAAAAATCTTATTTGATGTACTGTTGAAGATGTTGGATGACCTTGTGAAAAGTAATTTAACAAACATTAAATATTTAGTTGTACCATCCCTTAAAGTTTTCCGAAAGTGCTAAATCACTTGTTTTTTCCTCTCCAATATCTTGTCGCACTATGTTTTCATTGGCATCAAGTAACTCTATGGCACAAATAGCTGGCAAAGTGTTAAGGTTTGCTTTATTCAGCGGTGGTGGGTGATTTATTCTGCAGGTTCATGAGTAAGTACCTGTGCTGCTGATTTGCGAGACAGCAGTCGTCAAATCACTTGTAGGAACAATTGCCGCTGATCCTCCAGAGCTCTGATTCACTACAATACGATTTAAGCACAATTTGTGTATCCATGGGGACAGAGTCGCCTAATGTGCAATACCTAGAAACCAATTTACAGCTGAAAAACATTCTGTGCCTGTGTACAGTTGTATAGAAGGCATGCTGTGCAGATTGTGTCTGGATTCTTAAATATGTCTCTGTGAAACTAGTCTTTCAATTAGCCCTTATCTAGGTATTATTCAGCTTTTAAAGAGGCATGCATGACACTTGCTCATTACACTGACTCAAGTCAAACCTACTGCAATAAACAAATCCCTTACTGATTAAAAGAAAACTATTTATAATTTTGCAGTGTAAATAATAATTATGTTACATAATAGGATCTTAATCATTTGCATAGTGGGTCTTGGATTGTTAAGCAACTATATATGGAACCAGACTGTTGTTGGAACTTTAATTGGCTTCTGTCTTAAACCGTGTGTTAAGATACAGAGAAACAAGTGTTGCAAGTAACATGCAGTGTATAAAATGTCAGTTAATTAACAGTTGCTCGTTGGTCATGATTTCTCGGGTGTTTTCTGGTTATCATGCTTTCTAATTGCATTATGTGTATTCAAAAAGGCAGCAACACCAGAGCTCCAAAAATGCCAATTTATTTAATTAAAAAGGCCATCCCTATCTTGTACACATGCTTATTAAAAGACTACAAATATTTTACTGCAGCAGCCATCTTTTTTGTTAAAATATATTGTTTATAAAGGCTAGATTGTTTGCATAGGTTTATTTTCGACCATTTTCATACAGACCATTTAATGTTGGCCTGTTCAGCTCCATAAACGGTTTAAATTATATTTATTTTAGTAAATAATAAAATATGAACTCAAATAAGTCTTACATACATGTAATATAATAGTCATTCTTGATCATGCCACAAATAATTATTTTTTAGAAAATTCTATTTATATATTTAGAAAATAATTTTATCCTGTCAAGGCGTTTATACAGAAATTTAAAAGTAACAATGAGATGTCTTGCTTTTTCTGTTAAATTTCTGCTGAAAGTGTAGCTCACTTATTTTTGGGAATGCCCTTTTGTTCAATGTTTTAGATTAATGTGAATGCTTTCATTATCCAAAATAATTTTAATCACTTATATTATTTAGAAATGATGTTATATAATGCACGTTTTTGTGTAAACCTCTTGTTATTTATTTGAAAATTTTATATCCATATATGTAAATAAATGTAAACCCCTTTATAGCATTTTCAAACAAGCTGGAACAGTATTAACATATAATTCAACATAGCCTAAAGAGTGGTTTAAAATCCTAGAATTTGTACATATTGATTTTTTACCAGGCCTATTCATTGATTTTTTTTTTCCTTTTCATATTTCTATGATTATACTTTTTTGTTAGGCTGCTGAAATGTAACTAATAATTGTAACTCTTTTGTTGTTGAAAATACAGAAACAAATCCTATAAATACATAAAAAATAAAGAAACACATAACAGAATATAGCAAAGAAATGCAACAAAATAAAGTAAAAAAAAAAAAAAACTACCCAAACTAAGGAAAATGATGAATATCAAACTCCTCGTTCAAATTTCTTGGAGACAATGTAGGTAGAGTGAAAATCCAAAAGGCTTCATGATGTAACAGCAATTTTTAAAGATCTCCCCCTGACGTGGACACTTAACAACTTCAAATCTCTATATGTCGTAGAGTGGAAACAGAATGTCTCATATCTAAAAAAAAAAGTGCATCATTGTTTAGAAATGTGAATTTTTAAAGGATTTTTAATTGCATTATGTAACATTGATATATGCTTCTGATGTTAAAAAATCAAAACTACAGATCCTTTTATTGGCAGTAGTTTAAACAGAAAGATAGTGTGAGAAAAAGATAGAGAGAGAAATAAATGCAAAATGACAGAAAATGTACTGGTAACTCATTGCAGTACAGTTTTGTACTGTACTGTAATTTACATGACCCAACTTGACTACATAAAAAAAAAAAAAAAAAAAGTTGAAGCCGAGATAAAGTTCACACAATGCAGTTTGAAAGCATTAATTAATAGATACCCCCATGACCATTATGGACTTTTTTCTCTTGTTTTTCTTTAAAAAATAAAATAAATCTTAAGATTTAAAAAAAAAAATTTTTTGTACAGCATATTAAGACTCATTGTCAGAAAAAAAATAATGATGTAAATTATTCCTATCCCATTAAATAAACCATGATTGTAGAAAAATAACAACAGATTTTTACTTTTTAAGATATTTTCTCAATTTCAAATGTATGTAAAATATAGTAGTATAGTCAAATTTATTGTAATTAAAAAAAAATTTAAGTAATACAAAGAACTTTGGCCAGTGTAACAAAGTGAAAGTAATTTTCTTATTAGAAATGTACACGTAAGAATAACCCACATTTTAAGTCTACCGTTAATAGTACATCTATTTTAAAAGCTTTTAAAAATCAGTAAATGTGGTTTGTTACTACTCAAATCTGAAGCGTAGATGACCTGTTATTCTTTTAAAACTCTTTTGTATACTAAAGCAAATGTTTTGTAGAGGGTGAAATTTCATTGGATAAACTAAATCTAGGCATGTAAATGGGTGATTATATATATATCTGTATATATTGCCAAAGTAAATGCATCTTTTCAACATATGTCTTTATCAGCTTGTCCAAGTTTTAGTTAATTGTGATGGAAATGCCCTAGGAGTGATATCAGTTCATCATAAGATTTCATATGTAAAATGGAAAATGTCACTGGAAATAAATATCACTTTAAAGTAGGTGGTACAGAACATCCTGAAATGTGATGGTAATACTGATTACTCAATGCCGTTTAAAGGTTATGGAGAATATCTGTTTTTTTTTCTTTTTGTGGTGAGATGAAAGAGATAAACAAAAGCCACTAGCGGATTCCCTGTGAAGGCCCTTTCTCTCTGGTAAAACGATCATGTAATTGTGCAGAATTGCAGCTCATTGACATTGTTCTCCATATTAAAACTGCATTCAGATCTCACAGGGACAATGACGCTTCTGTGGGAAAATGTAAGTCAATATGGAGCGAGAAAAAAGTGAAGCGACAGGAGAATCACAGGAGCACTTTGAAATGGAAAACACTGTACATTCAGTATTCAGGAACACAGAACTTTGTTCAGTTATATTGGAAAAATTGGAGACAGATGGGTTTAAGGAGGTGGAATGTGTGTGTGAGTTTACAGGAGTTTCATGCACCTGCGGGCACCAGAAGCACAATCTTGACTTATTGTTCTTGGCAAAAGCAGAAAAATATGTCACAACAAAATTCCAGTGACTTGCAATATCTTTGTAACCAAAACAAAAGCAAAGCATGATGCAACAACAATTACAAATCAACTATCCATTACAAAACAGCCAATCAGAAAAGTTGTTTGCACTTTATTGTACTGTATATGTAAAATTGGTTAAAGGTAGGGGATTGTAGATAGCTATTACCTAGTTTTCACTGTTTGCATCCTATTTTGGTTCCTTAAACATGAAAAATTGATAAAATGTCATTTAAAAGCATATAACTTTCATCCAACTTTATGCATGTTTCATATATAATATATATTATGATAATATATATAATATATACATATATATATAATATATGAATGTACACAATCAAAATCTTTTTATTTGTGTTTGATAATTGATATTATTGAAGAAAAGGACTTAATTCTATAGATTAAGCAGACCTTTATGACAAAATTTAGCCATGGTTAAGATAAAAACTGTATATTGAGATATATGTTAATTCTTTTTGCTATTTGCAAATGAAAGTTTAACACTGATATGTATAAAATGAGTTAATCAAAATGTATTTTAAAAAGTTTGAAAGCTGGAAATAACCATATATATTAGTTTAGTAATTTTGCTGTTGCTATAAAATAATAATAATAATAATATATATATATATATGTGTGTGTGTGTGTGTGTATATATATATATATATGTATATATATATATATATATATATATATATATATATATATATATATATATGTATGTATGTATGTATATATATATGTATGTATGTATGTATATATATATATATATATATATATATATATATATATATATATATATATATATATATATATACAAAGTTGAAGTCAAAATAATTAGCCCCCTTAAATTATTAGCACCCCAGTTTATTTTTTTCCCCAATTTCCGTTTAACGGAGAGAATATTTCTTCAACACATTTCTAAACATAATAGTTTTAATAACTTATCCCTAATAACAGATTTCTTTTATCTTTTCCATGATGACAGTAAATAATATTTTACTTGATATTTTTCAAGACACTTCAATACAGCTTAAAGTGACATTTAAAGGCTTAACTTGGTTAATTAGGGTAACTATGCAGGTTAG